TATATATATATATATATATATATATATATATATATATATATATATATATATATATATATATATAACTCTCTCCCTCAGTGAGTCAGAGTGGACGAAAAAATCGTGAAAAGTCACAGTGAATGGTTTCACACTGAGCTTCACCAGGTGACCCAAAGTCTTTGAAGCTCTGCAGAAAAAGCAACGGATCATTAAGCAGCAGGAATGTTTTTAATGAACGGGTAGAAATGTTCCGATCCGCCATCCACCCCGTGATGAGTCACGGAACCACCTAGAACCAGCAGTAGAGGGCAGATAGGGAGCTTTAGTTGAATCCTGTTGGGTCGGTTCTGTTGTCTCTACAGTTCGGTCACGTGACCAGCTTCATTTTTTTTTAACAGGAAGCGTTTTCTCTTCTTCCTCCTCCTCTTTATCTTCCAGGTGAGCTGCAGCCCATGGCGAGCAGCGCCTCCGTGGCATCTCTGGTCATCGCCGTGGAAACCGGCCTGTCAGACGAGGAGGGGTCCATCGGACAGCCTCAGATGGGAGCCAAGTCCTGAGAACAGCACAACAGAACCGAGCCAGAACCAGGCCAAAATAAACAAGACTCAGAACAATCTTTAGGTCCGGAGAGAGGTCCAGCCCGACCGAAGAATAAAATCTGACCCAAACCTGGTTACGGTTTACGCTCGCCTAAAATACACTGATCCAGAACCAGCGCTGTGAGGGTCCGACTAGGTTTGGACTTCTGAAGCAGACCTGTTGGGTTCAGAGGAATTGGATTTTATCTGTTGTTTCAGTGTTAACTTTCCGCTTGTTCTTAGTTTTCCTCATCCTGGTTCCCTCCCCTCAGCTTGTTCTGTTAGAACCCTCGTTGGCCCGGACAGTCTTCCTCCCAGAACCTGGGTCTCTAGCTCCTAAATGGCTCCACCTCCTTCTAACAGCTGTTATCTTCAGAGACTGGAAGCTCAGCAGGAGGTTCTGCTGTGAGGAGGAGTCCTGGTATCTAGTCCAGCAGTTAAACTCGACCCGATAACACTCTCTTTGTTTTGGTTCTCCAGTCTGTTTGTGGTGAGACTGAAGGACTTGATTAAAAAGAACCGGGCTGCTCCAGGAGCTGGACCCGGCAGTGTTACGTTGACTGCAGTATTGAACACCTCAGTATTCCCTCCTTCCTTTGCTCCCTCTGCTGAGGTTCGATTCCAGCGTTTCCTCTGCTGTTTCCAAAAGTCGCTCCTTTTTTTTTTTTATTAGGAGGGGAATCAAAGGTTCTCACTTCTGGGGGGAAACTGAAGTTGAACAAAAAGTTTTCTTTAACATGTAAAGCACAGATAAAAAAAAAATATGTGAAAACTGTGAGTGAAAGCAGAGAAATGCTGCCAGGCTCTGAATCATTTCCAGCAGCGAGTAACATTTGGAGATTTTTCCTTTTCCTCATTCTTCTCTCTCCTTTTAACAGATGTCTTCATTGGAGCTCCGTATTATTAGGTGCTTTCAGACCACAGAATATTTAGATTTGGGTTTGATCTCCTGCGGCAGCAGCAGAGTATTTCCCCAGTCTGCTGTTTTATCTAATAATCCATAAAGTAATTGGACATACATATATTAAAAAGGGGTTAAACTATCTGTTCTGGTCTAACTACTTCTATATCTATGCTGATTTAGCATAGATATAGAAGAAGGGGCTAAAAGTTTATTTTTAAACCTTTTCTTTTTTATTTCCTTGTATGACATGTCTGATAACATGCTACCAGTCTGCATTGGATTTCTAGATTTTGATTTCTTTCTGGTTTGAACATCATTATAGTCAGAAAATGATTAAATCTACAGAATTATTTGTGTAATCTACATTCAGATATTTTTTTCTTTCAATCAGTTTCTGCTTAATTTCTTTGGGGATGTGGTGGATTGGCCTAATTATTAAAATTCTTTTTTATATGACATTTTATTTATGAATATTTTTGCATGTTTTGTCAAAAAACATGCAGACTGGAGTAGAAAGTTTTTGCCAAAACAATGAAAATGGCCATTTTTTTTTTTTTTTTTTTACCGATATTGTGATTTTTAATTTGAATCTCCTTTGATCAAACTAAAAACATGTAGAGTTTCCTCAAGGTTTAATTGTTTTGACGACCTTGGCCTATTCCCTGTTCGGAGTCCATAGTTTAACCTCTTACACCCTAAGGGGGTATAAATAAATTTCTGCCTGACAAAAACACACAAAAGTGAATAACTTATAGCCTCAAAGCTATTAGATTTAAGAAGAAACTTTTGGTACCTCTGTAAAGGTAAGATGTCATAGAATGGTTTTCTGGTGTCAGCACCATTGTAGCTTTGACCCTGCCTGAAATATTAGGGACAAAATACAAAATATTTTGCATTTTTTGAACCTCGCCAAAATTTTCTTTGAAATAAACATTGCAAAACACTACCAAAATATTATTTATAGCACAGAAAAGTAGTACAGACTTTTAAATCTAAATGTTGTGTAAAAATATTCCAAATTTGGACTCAATCAGATGAATCATATTTATTTTAGAATGGTATTAGTGAGAAATTTCTTAGGCGGGGGGGCCAGTTTGGCACATTTATCCCTAAATGTCACCAAACTGTGCCAAATATGTTTTTTACATCAATACTGGGGGTTTGGTAAAATTACGAGGTCATGTAGCAGCTGGACCCACCGGTGGGTCCGTAGGGTTCTAGGGGTTAAGGACTTTACTGTTTAGTGTAAAAAAGTTCCTACTTCTTCTGTCATACATGGATCTACATGTTAGCTCCAGCTATCTTCCCACTTTTAGAGCTTTAGCGCCAACTAAAGAGTTAGAAATGTAGGTTCTTTCTCCTGTTAAATGTAACGTGACTAAGATTTAGAGGCTCTGCCATTTTAAAAAATTGCATTTTGTTAAATTGAATTATTGCAAATGCAGTTAATGACCCAGCCCTGATAGAGACAACAGGAAGTACCTGAACAATAAAAAGAAAACCATACCTGGCATTAAGGTAGAAAATGCTTAAAGAAACAATCTTCCAAATGAAATTGTTAAACAAAATAAGAACCACCTTTAACTGACGTTTTTAAAGTTCTTAGAACCATGTGGTCTGAAAGCACCTGCAGCCTTGCCTTGTTCAGTTTTCCCAACATGTCCGACTGCCCCACCGCCATCATCCTGCTGCCTTTTTTTCTACTTTTGACTTCTGACAATCGAGGAGGCTGCTGCTCAGGGCTCTTCGCCCTGAACTCCGCCACAGAAGGCTCCGGTAATTTCCCGCGCCGCAGACGCAGGCTGATCGAAACGTTTCTGTGCTGCTCTTGGTTCTGCCTCTTCACCTTCATCACCCCATCCTGTGAACACAGGTTCACTTCGCTGCCGACTGTTTGCTCCGGACGTTGACGCTCGTGTTTTCGGGGGGTGTCGCCGGCGAGGAAAGTAAAAGATTGTCGTCTATTTTGATACCAGAGGAGACGTTTATTTTTGTAACGAAGCAGCAGGGACTGACTGATCTCCCTTCCATCCTCACCTCCCCCATGGCTCGGATGGTTCTGCATTTGATCGGGCCGATTTAGATGTTGAATATTTGTGTAATTGTACATACAAACTATTTTTTCTCTTCTTTTTTTTTTTTCTTTCTGAGGCCCTCGATGTTATGAACCAGACTGAACATGTTAGGATCTGACTGAAGAAAGCTGAGAGAATTGAGCTCATGTTCTTAACCAGCACTGTTAAAACTACAGGAGAAAATATTTTCAGCTGGAAAAAGAAAAAAACAAGTTTGGCTTCCTTTAATATTCGTCTGTTTTTCCAGTCAGTGCTTCTATTTCCTGTGAGTTCAGTTCCTCTCAGACTCTTTGTGAAACTTCTTCCTTTGCTTCCACAGGTTCTTGGTTCAGGAAGCTGCAGGTTGTTGTAAACACTAAGTAATTTATACTCTGTAACATGGAAGCGCTTGTAAGGAGATGACGAATTTGTACGGCTTGTCTTTGACAATTTTCAGTGAGCAATGTTTTAATTAAAGTCACCTGCTTTGTGTTGTGAGTTTCCTCTTTTATAGACTATTTATTCTTCCACCTTCACACGTATTTTTCCTTAATTATCTGCAAATAATGATGGTTCATGAGGCATCATGAAGCACTTCAACACATCTGCACACATTTATTGATAATGTCACTTAATACTGACACCTGCTGGACATTTACAATCACTACAGTTTGACATACTAGACCGACACTGATTTGATGACCTATAAAGTGTTATTTAATATCTTCCTTTAAATTTAAAATACATTTGATATATTTAGATGCATTGCATAAATGTGAACATATAATGGGGAAATTTAAGTGAACAAGGATAAGGATGTTTGTGGACTAGGATTTATATTTCAAAAAAATGACTAAAGAAAGAACAAAAACTAAGAATTTAAAATTAGTTTGATTTTAAATGCATTGAGTGATTACCGAGAGGAACAGGATGACACATTAAAACATGAGATCAAAATGGTTCCACTCAACTTGTGCCTTGAGGCTGCTCCACTTCGATTAATTTGGTGATAAACCATAAAAGATCAGAGATTTTTTATTTATTTTTTGGCAGTAGCCTTCGTCGACAGATGCACTTATAAACACAGTTTAGTGCATCAGTCAGTTGGAAACAGCTCCTGTATCAATCACATTACTTTCTTGAAACGATATGTGCAAAGATTTGTATTTATTTTTTTACAAGGCTGGACTGAAAAAACAAACCCCAGAACCATTTGAAGTTTGTCCAACCTGTCTTCTGTTATTTTGAGGATGACTCTGTTGCTACTAGCTGATAATCCAGCATTCTTCTATTTAGTTTTTTAAATAACTTTTTACGTCTTTTTTTTTTTTTTTTTTCTTATTGTTTTTTTTTTTATACAAGGCTCTTCATTAATTTCCTCAATGTTAATTTAAATAGCATTAAATAAAGAATCTATTTTATATTAAGAAAAATATCTTAGTGCAGATGTAATGTTTGGGGTATTTGTGTGGTTTACCGAGACTTAACGGTGTTCTGATATATATTTATGCAATATTGCAACAAATACATTGAATAAGATGCAAATATCAAGTCTGCTACAAGCTAATGCTTAACAACATAATTTCACTAAACTTAAAACTTAAATTCTAATGTAAAATACTCCAGCTTATTGGTTGTAAATAAATAATTATCACAGATTTCCTCTTATATTATTGATAAATTTTATCCAAACACAATGGTCCTGTTAAGCAAATTCTGTGGTAAGGGATTTGTCTCAGTCGACAGTATTGAAAACTGTTTTTAAATGGATTAATAAGAAAACATGCTAGGCTAATGGGGAATGATAAAACTGGACTACGTAAAGAAGCAGCTGGTTGCTATGGTTTCTCCCGCCAAAACACTGACTGCAGAAAAACTGAAGATGACAACAGAAGAAATAATGGAGGCAACAGCATCAAACCCAATGGTAACGTCTGTATCTTTTATTTAATAGGTGATTGCAGTTCAAAGCTGTTAAAGTTACTGAAAAAAAGTGACTTTTTAATCAAAGTTGTTAAAGAAACATTTGAGGGATTTGAGAGAAAGTGGCTGTAAAAGAGACGCTGTTTGATAGAAAAGGGTTTAAGCCCAATTCCTTTATAGCCCTTTATCAAGTCTGAAGAACCCAAAGTGCTTAAAATAAAATCACATAAAGTATACATAAATTCTGGAAACTTTGTACAGGAAAGTAACCTTTACCAGAATTTAAAACCTACGAGTTCAGAAACATCTTAATTTAAGCTTAACATCCTGATACAATATTAAATCTAAATGTCACAAAAGATTAACTATAAGGTAAACATGCTGACTCAGTCAAGAAAATAAATACATATACTTTATTTAACCTATATTATGTAACAATATATATAGCAACAATAATATATATTATATATATATATTACATATATATATGTAT